CGTGGAAACGCGCTGAAAAACGCCCTACGCCCAAACAAGTACAGGAGCTTCTTTGGGGCGTTTTTCCGCGCGTTTCCATTGGTATTCCCGAGTGTGGCTCGGGGTTAACAAAGCGGTAACCCCGAGCCACACTCGGAAATACAGAGTAGGACTTACCTTGTTCGCGATCCCCGCTGTGTCCTCCGGCGGCTGCTGACTTCCAGGTTCCGTCCCTTGCGAGCGGCCGCGTCGCAGGGGTGAAGTTTGAAAGTTACACATCTTTTTTTAAAACAAAATATAGAGAAAATAAAGGACATTTAAAAAAAATCATACCGCCAGTGAAACGCGCGTTTCACTAAACGGAAAAACATGTTAAAAAACGCGGGGAAAAAAAACCAGCAGAAAAAAATGTGCCTTAGCTACGCCCAGGTGTGAATCCAGCCTTATGAGAATGAATATACACAAATATGTCATTTTTCTGTGAGCATCACCTTTATCAGTAGCCACTGTTTGAATGAAGATCTAATGTTTACCTGTTCAAATATTTGGTAAAAGTCAAAACTACCGTGGGGTGTACTTTTTCACTCCAACGTATAAAAGTTGGTTGGGCAACCCATTCCGAAACCATGGGCATTAATATGGTCCCTCCATCTCCTTGCAGCTGTAGCAACTTCTCCTATTCTGGAAAGGCTCTCTACAAGATTTTGTAGTCTGTGGTAATTTGTGGCCATTTAGTCAGTCTTTTTGAGGTCTGGTACTGATGTTGGATGAAAAGACCTGGGTTGCAATTGAGGTTCCAATTCATTGCAGAGATGTTCTTTGGGATTGTGCTCAGAGTTCTGTGCAAGCCATTTAAGTTCCTCCACACTAAAGTTATCATACCATATATCTATGGAGCCGGCTTTATGTACATGGTTTGCAAATACATACTTTTGATTTCCAAACCCACACTCTGAATCAGTCAGCCAGGAGGTCCACTTGTGCCCATACACACTCACATAAGATATTTAACAAGATTGGGGAAAGGCTAACTAATATTTATGGTCCCATTGCTTAAAATTCGGAACAAACATGGCATTAGTCCAATATAAGGTGTGATAACAGGGTTTCTTGCTGTACACGCTTGGAGGTATTGCTGCCCTAAATCTGGAGGATGCTGCATTTATTTTTTTTAAACACACATACACAGGATTTTTTTTTTAGGAAACATTAAACACACAAATAGGGGGCCCTAGAAAAAAATACTATTTTCAAAAGGGGCATGAGATAAGATTTACCCACAGCATGGCGTTCTTGATAAATATGGTCTTTTTGTGAAGAAAAAAACGGGAATAAACAGGAAGTGTCATATACCAGCCTAGGTGTACCTATGAGCTCACAAAGAAACCCACGAAGAAAATATAATACATTGCAGCTTACCAGCCCTTAGATTAGATTTCGTGTTTTTTTTTCCATCTTTTGTTTCTGTCAGTACCACACTTTCTGTCCTTATACTGGCAATGTTCACTCGTCATAATGTTTCTATGGAGGAGCAGCTTTGTCAGTACAGGAAGTGAGTTCGGCATACAGGACACCATCACCTGTCTAGAACATAGGACTACATATCACCCCTCGCTAACAAACTTCCTCATAGCATTGTTTAAGATAACATTACAAAGTGCACAGGATTTGTGGCAAGATCTGGAGGTATTTTTTGCACATATCGAAAGGATATAAAAAAACAAGAAAAACTTTCAATGGCATATTCAACAGACCAAAATAAAATAATTGTTAAGAGCTTACATACATTTGCTTAAACAACTAAATATAGGAAAAAACTTCACTATAGCACCAACTGGTTCATTTTAAATTATCATACAATTTAATTGCATTTTGTACATTGTTTCACACATGGAAACAGAGTTTCAGTATCACGGTGTGCGCCAACCTTTTTTTTTTTTCTTCTCGTCTTTGTTTTCCGGTAAGCAAATCGGACCTACTTTGTGATGAAAGATTTACACTGTTCAGCACACTCGTAATTCCTCATTTGCACAGGTTCTAACAGTCCAGCTGGATGATATATACATACACTCAAGCCATTCAACATCATAAAATGTGAGTTTACATACGCGCAATGTAGTGACTTTGTCCATGCTAGTTATATACATATTTGCATATCTTCACCTTTTGGCTGGCAGAAAAGATCCAACACTTTGCTCTGCAAATGGTCAGATGAACTCCGTCAGCGAGTAAAAAGTTGAAATTCAGAACATGTTTCCATTCAGTTTAAGATAGATATGTATAAACAACAAAAAAAAACAGAAAAGGTGCATGTGTCAAAGCCATCAGCCTCTTCCGACCAATTACATCGTATGAATATGTCTTGTGCAAATCTATTAAAACAAAAGGAAATAAACCCAAAACACTGGCATTAAATAAAGAGACAAATAGACAGACATTGTTTTGAGCTAGATCTTCCTCTGGCCTATCCAGAATACTTCTAGCAGTCATGTAAGGTCATACTGTGATAAATAAAATCTATCCAACTGTTAAACAGATTGTCTTTTGTTTTCTTTGTCTTCTGGCGGAATGTGCAAAATGCCTGACGTCTTGCTTGCTTCCCATAAGTCCTACGAAATAGAGGTGAAATGTATCAAGGTGGCGGAGTCTTCCTATACAACAGACTGGATTCTGAGCATGGGGTATGGCCGTAAGACACTTGCTAGCCTCATAAAATGGAGAGGGGATTGATTATCAGTCAGGTTCAAGGGTACATGACGTATAACTTATCCATAAAAGTGTTTTTATAGTTTGCTGCGGGGTTACGGAAACGCGCTGGCAATTAAAGGATTAAGCATACTACTGTGAATGCAGCAGGTACTCTTAGGTCACTGAGGGTCTCTTTCTTGCTTGGGTAATAAAACAGAGGCTGCATACATCCCCATCCAAGTAGTGTTTTGAAAAAAGCATTACAGGGTCTTCGTCCCTGAGGTATCCCTTGGCAGGTGGATTGGGAGGGCCATGCAGGAAAATACCGATTTGTAACAAAGGGTCATTATACAAGGCATCATACTGCCCAAGGACAGACAATGAGTCTCTTCAAAGTGTCCAACTATCTACAGAAGTATTTATAGGATTGGTGGTTGTATCAGTGCTTGGCTCTTGCATACAAAGTTATTTATGGTTGGAATAGCCACGTTTGCGTTGACAGAAAGGAAACTCCCCTGGTTGGAGGGTTAACAAAAAAAAAAAATATCACTGTTCAGATTAAAAGAAAAAATAATTATATATACTGTATATATAGATTCTTCATTCACGGTGCGCATAGCAGTCTGAATGAGAGAAGGTGCTCCTGTGTCTGTGGGCCAGTCAGCCAGGCAAATGTCCATTACTTCCTGCTGATCGCAGAAGTCAAAGGTCATGATTCGGCATCAGCAGCAATTATTGGTTGTTTTGGTGGAACCGCTAAGAGAGCCTCTGCTTCTTCATGCATCTGTTCAAGAGAGAAAAAGAGTATAAATCATGACCTCTGCTAGATTAACCTTTATATTACAACTTTTCACTTTTGAATTTCCCGCCGGCTGTGACGCTCGAAAACGAAACTAAAAGTCAGATGTTGGCTTTCAGTTTCATTTTCGAGCCGCGTACAGCAGAGGACGCCGCGGGATCGCAGGGACAAGGTAAGTGTCACTTTTCTCTGCAGCCCCGAGTCTGGCTCGGGGTTACCGCTCCTAGCATTGAAAATTCACCCTGAGCCAGACTCGGGAATACCGCCAGGGAGGTTAAGCCAGTGGAGAGAACAAAAACATTAGAGGGGCTGTGTCGGCAAAAAGCACCCAGCGCTAGTGCCACTCGAATAATGCAAATTACAACAAAAAAAGCTGCGTTTGTCTCACTTTGCCTTAAACTCAAATGTCTGGGAAGGTATTCATTCATCCAGGTCATTGTATATCTGTATAATAATAAATCAAGGCAACTGGACTTGCTGGATTTTTCTTTTCATCTGACCAGCTTTCTCAATTCAGAATTCTGAAATGAGAAAGCTGGTTGGATGTCTAGTGAAACGTCTTCAAGAAAAATACAGCAAGTCCAGTTGCCTTGATTTTTTTTTAAAACTCAAATGCATCTCACAGAACATGCTGCGTCTAAAGAAACAAAACTCAAAGCAGGTCAAAGGCCGCCCCAGAACTGTCATCAACACTCTGCAACAATGAGGTAAATAGCAATGCATTTAAAATGCAGAAAAACAACACTAGTGTTTAAAAACCTGTATTGTATTGTGTGAGCTACTCCTATGCAGAGTGCCCATTCTACACCAGCTCCTCCACAGCTGACTTCAGCATTCTGCATTATGTTGTCTGTAATAAAGGCCTACTATAGCAATAATTGTATTCTAGTAACTGTATGTAGTAATACATGGAATAATAGTGGTCAGTATATCATTTATTCCACATTTCCGTGCAGACCAAGCTGTCTAGAAAAACTGACAGAATAAAACTATGACCCAGCCTTTTTTGGCTATAGTTCTCTTTTGGGTCACAGGAAGGCATTTACTATGTCCTCCTGTGACCCAAAATTCAGCATGAAGTGGGCTATTTCCTGCTATATGTTGACAGACGTGCTGGAGCCAGGAAAAATCCTGACAATATTGTCGGGATCCACACCGACAACTGATTGACAGCTGTGCAAGTCCCCCCCCCTCCCTCTAGTCAGTGCTGGAGGAACGAAGAGTGGAAGGGGGGAGGAATCCCTGCAAAGAGCGATGACTGACAGTCACAGCTCTCTGCATGGAATAGATCGGGGAACTCAGTGATCAGTTCTCGATCTATAGAGTCGATGTGCGACAGCCTCAGTGTCACGCATTGGCTCAAGTTATGGGGAGGAGTGTATTTCACTCTCTCCATAATTCTCCTTTAAGGGGGATGGGACAAACCACAGAACAATGCTGTGGGTGCTTAAAGTGGTTGTCACCTGTTAATCTTATAGTTTTAACTTTTTCCAAAAGGAAAAAAAACTGTTGCTTTACCTGCTCAATTAAAGGTTAGCTTGAGTAGGCTTTAATTTGTGTGTCATTAATTTAAAGTCCATTTAAGACAACATGCTCATCTAAGAATGCCATGTCAGCAGCGTGGCAATGATGCAATAGTTACCGTTCCAAACAAACAGTGTTGTCGCCCTATTAATAGAAGTGAAAAATCAATAGATCTACTGGCAGGATCAATAGGTAATACAACTATGTTACAGAAGAGGGACCAAAGCTGGACATACATTATGCGATTTTCGGCCAGTTCCAGAAGAACTGTCGCTGTCGGAACTTTTTCGTTTGGCATCCCTCGATCCATGGAGTCGGTCAGAAAATCTGCAAAAGAACAGAGGCGGCAGCCAATGCTACCCCTGCTCTTGCCACTCCACCTACACAAGAAGACACCACTGTATACTTTCTACAGACTAGAACTTTAAACAGAGAAAGTGCGGCCTTCCTCCTAGCTATGCTGTGTTATGGAGCAGTGTAAATCTCGGGACTGGATAATCAGAAATACAAAATACTTAGGATTGTAAAACAGCTCCCTCATATGTATCACATCAGCTTTAACCTTTCACTTTAACAAAATGTTCCAGTCACTCACAATTTGAAATTGCACATCCTGAAAAAGCTCCTGGATGAACCTCCGAGATGGGAGTCGAAATGTGCAATGTGCTAATAAGTAGGAAACTTCAGAGTAGAGGCAAATGTCATCAAATGCTTGGGGAAACTTCTCTTTGATCCTAAATGATGGAGAACGGAAACAGGATTAGCATATCAATTTCTGAAGCTATTTGCTGCACACAACCAATAGAAGAAATCTGTGAGGAGCAACTGCTAATTCACATTCCCCTGTGCCACGCTGCCTGAGGTTAGGGAGTTTTATTTTCACACGTTTCCACATCTATTTGCAGTAAGTATTGGTCCCTAAATACAAACTGATTTATGAGGCCAGAGACTGTCCCAAAAAAATTACCAAAATTTGGGGTCGGTGGTTGGGCATACCAATTCCTCATGTGCAAACTTTTGAGTATATCTTTTGTACTTACCAGGATGTTTCTCTGGTGCTCTGTGTCACCGGTGCTTTGGTTTCTCTATGGAGGGGTGGGGGGATGTGAGAGTGACTATGTGAATGGTTTTGTATGGATGTTTTGTCCAAAATATTATTTGGAAAAAGAGATCAACACCTTTTAAAGAAAAGTGGAAAAGCCAATTTAAATTTTTTCTTAAATTTAAATCTAAAAAAACCCTCCAAATGTTTCAATTACTGGCCTTGCATTGCCTTCGTAACAAAATTAGTTTATTACAAAAACGGGATTGAAAAACAAAAATGGACAAGATTAAAAAGTCAACTGTTCACAAAACAAGGATGTCTCTTGCATGTAGGGTGAGCACAACAATAAAAACTTACGTTAAAAGTCCTGTTTCATGACCCTTTGTTCCTACAGAACTACTCAGGTTAATGACCAGCCTTAAGACCTCTTTCCGTAACAATATTCGGCACACAGGTGTATCTTCAGGAATTGACTTTCCTCCTAAACAGCAAAAATAAAATCAGTCAGTATTCGTTAAAAAGCAATTCTGAAAGGAAGCAAAGCAGTACTTACATCACATTTCCACAGTAAATACTCAAAGCTTAGATTGAACCTTTCAGCATCTCCTTTCAAAAACCCCCAAAAACATTGGTGGTGGATGAAGTGTCACTTTTACATCGCATAGCCTGCCCAGGAATTCTCCCCTTCCGTGCTAAGACCAATCTAAAATCATATGCACGTTGGGAGATTCCGGCACTCTTCATAGCGTCTACTGATACTGTAAAGGAGGATCACTATGCAGGCTGTGCCGTGTACAAGTAGCAGGGACGCTAAGGCTGAATTCATGAAGTACGATTCCAAATGCACTTACTCTAGCCATCATCATATAAAATGACAAACCTTTTTATATAATTTAAAGGTATACATGTATATGAGATCGGGGAGAAACAACCACAATAAAAGAGCACATATAACAGTTAAACATACAAAACCTACTGTAAATCATATACCACGGGGGGCCCACAAGAATAAATACTCTATTAATATTTCAATAACATTCATTAAATACAAAGCTGTTGGCCTAGTCAAAGAGTAGCCCATGCATGTGACCTCAATAACAAAAAGGCTATAAAATGCCCCTCTGCTGGTTTGATTAGGGGCTATCTTGCTTGCAGGAAATGAAGCTTATTTATATCCCTGCTTGAAAGGATATGATAGATTTTGGATCATTAAACGCTTTAATACTGCAATTGTTATCCTCAAAGTAATGCTCCGCTGTCTGCAGGGGGGCATTTTATAGTCGTATAGAGTAGAGGGGCGGGTGGGTAGTTTCTATCTACATTTTACCCTGTTTAGGGGAAGCAGGGCTTAATGTACAGTGGAGAAGCCAGTGGGTACAAATGATCTCTGCAGATCCCACCCACCCCCCGCCAACCATGGTCCGCCCTCACCCCTGGCTACCCCTGTCCCCGCTGGCTACCTCCCTCTTCGCTGTGGTTCTCAGGGTCCCCCGCTCTTCTGGGGGTCCTGGTACCACGACACATTCGTTCAGGAGGGAGAGAGCAGAGAACGTCCGTTCGCCGCTCTGCTCAGTGTAAACAATGAGACGGGAGAGCTGTACTCTCAACCTACCCATCTCAGCTGTCACAGGAGTTCCAGCACAGTGCTGTGCTAAAACTCCTGTAAAAGGAGGTGACAGGTCCAAAAGAGAACAGGTCACCTCCAAATGCTATCACTCCAGGGCTTGTTAGTGCCTGTGTGATAGCAATAAAGCTAATTGGAAAAAAAAATGTAATATGTAAAAAATAATAATTAACCACTTGAAGTCTGGGGTGTTAAACCCACTTCCCATCCAGGCCATTTTTCAGTATTCAGCGCTGCGGTACTTTGACTGACATTTATTCCGTCATGCAACGCTGTACTGAAATGAATTTTAAACCATTTTTTGGGGACACATAGAGCTTTCTTTTGGTGGTATTTAATCACCACTGGGGTTTTTATTTTTTTAATATATTAAGGAACAATAACAGAAAATTTAAAAAAACGGTTTCCCCCTATATTAAATTCTAAAACATTTATTATTACCCAATTGTTTGGTAAAATATAAAAGAAGCGGTCATGTCAGGTATTCCGGTCCCGGGCCGCAGATGGGCCAGCGGATCCCGGGATTGAAGGTGAGGGGTCAGGAGCGGGGATCGGCGGCACTCGAGGGGGGGCGGGCAAAAAAAATCACGCCATACATATAGAGCCGCTGATCGGTTGTATGTGAAACACCCGTTAACAGCTGTAAAAACAAGCGGGTCTTTCCTGCCCGTGGGGGTGCGCGCGAGCAGGAAAAAAAATGCCGTCTGGAGACGGCAACCCGCTGATGCCAGTCAGCCGTCCGTACGTTTTTTTTCTACGGGCGGACGGCAACTCGTTAAAATAAAAAAGTGATAAAGTAAAAATAAATAAAAAAAGTAAAAGGATAAGAAATAAAAACAAAATCAACCCTGACATCTGGTTGCCATTCTCCATGGGGAAGGGGGCGGGGTTGGCATTGAGGAACCAGGCCTTGGGAGAGTAAATCCTGCCCTGATCTTATACTGTGGTTGTTTAACCAGATCTCATTTACATATATATTTTTAGATTATCTTTTTTTGAAGGGGTACCAAACTGGAAAGGGGGAGCATGATTTTTGAAGCCATAAGCTTACACGCTGGTCTGTCTGAACCACCTACAAATGGAGGAACCAGGAGCCAGGGTGCCCTTGCTGGGCCCAGCTGGAATGACAAAAAGATAATCCATCTTGCGGAATGAAGAAGTTACGAGAGATATACTCACACAGCCTGTATCACATCTAGACAGTGGAGAGAAATCTCCTTCTAGTTAACGAGCTGGACATAAACAGGGAAAGACAATGTGCTGATTAAGGTAAAGTAGGACCAAAAAGGGTTCCTTGCAGGACAAAGCTGCCAATTCAGACAATTGTCAAGCTGAGGATAAAGCAAAAGGGAAAACTACCTTGTGAGCCAGAGCAGGGAGAGGAATATCTCTGATAGGTTCAAATAGGGGTTTCTAAAGTACAGAAAAGGACCAAAGTCAAACAGCAAGGAGACAGAGGCGATTTGACCAGGGGGAGGGGCACATGGGTAACTCCTTGTACAAGGATCTTGATCTTAAACTGGGAAGCCAACAGTCTCAAGAAACCTTGAAGAGCAAAGATTCGGTCCTTGATGGTACTAAGGGCCAAATGGTGGTCCAGATCCAACGGCAGGAAGGAAATGATTAATCACACGGAGTAACTCTTGGGTTGAAAGCCTCTAAGCTCAAACTAGGCACAGTACGGCATCCACATCCAATGACAGACTATGGGAAAAGTAGACTTCCTAGCCCTACGCATGGTGGTAAATCGATCCTTGGCAAAGAAGATATGGACAGTCCAGCAGAGCCCATGGTGCCTAATGCAAGACGTCTTACCAGGTCAGGGTACAATAGCTGGGCTAGGAGATTCTTTACCTGTGACACAGGTCCTGAACACCTCTGTGTGAAGAGACTGCACAAATCTGCATGCCAATTGTCCATGCTGGGGATGTACATGGCTGACAGAACATGTTGTTCTGTCAAGGAGACAGGATTTAGCATTTTCTGACTGAATCCAGAGCAGATAATCTGATAATAGGTCAATCCAATGCTAGAGAGTCCGCTAAATTGTCTGATATTCCAGGATGTTTATTGGGAGACAAGATTCCTCCTTCGACAAAGTCTTTTGCACAAGCAGATTGACCAAATACTTTGCATGGGCAATCTTCAAAAACCCTAATGCATGACTATAGAAAAAACATCCTCCAAGAGGGAAGCAGGGCCAGTGGCACCTGACAGAGAGAACACTGAGGATAGATTCCAACACTCACTGGCAAAATGACTCTATGCTACATGGGTCAGGGCTATCAAGAGGCACGCTGCCAGGAAGACCCTGACCCACCAGTGGACAGTATACCTGGGGCACTCAGTACATCCTGACTATTTCTCCTAGAATCAGACATGTTGCAGTCTTGAGTACTCATAGAACCTGGGGAAGCTGGAAGAGAACATTCAAGACTGGAGGGTTGAGTGGCCAGAGGTGACCAAGGGACACTGCAGAAGGGCAATAGGAACAGATCTTGGATTGAAATTGCATGTGGCTCTTGTAGCAGTAGCAGCAGATGCTTCCCGCGACACTGTCTAGTGGGATAGAGGCCATGGAGTGTGTGATCGCAATATTCCAAGTGTCAGAATTATGTCAGCACTCAGTCCTACAGTGTTCATTCTTACCACAGCAGGCCGGCAGTAAATGAGGGATTCAAAAACAGGTGTCCACTTACAAAGTGAGTCTTCAGAGACAGAGAAAAAGACAATAACAGCTCTGGACCTCAAAAATGCTCAGCAGTTAAATTTAGTCAGAAGTCTGGAAAGCACTTAATTGGGGCTCAATGTAACTTTTAGGCACATCCTGTAATGTTCAATTCAGAGAATCTGAGAAAACTCAACCATTCTCCAAGGACAAAAAACTGAAGCAAGCAGCCAGTAGGAGGGGATAATACCCTGGGTTGGCCTACAGTTGTTTTTTTTTTTGCCGGTGCCCAATTCTCCTGTAGGCAGCAGTATAACTCAAAGGTTTAGGACTGTTTGTGTTCCTCAATGGACGAGAAATAAATCCCCAGTTAGACTTACCGGTAACGGTGTTTCTGAGAATCTTCCAGGACAGCAATCTGAGAGAGGATTGTCCCTCTCATCTACAGAAAACAAAATGAGAAGTTTAAAAACCCCTCCCACCCCCCCTCGTCCCTCAGTAGAGATTAATAAGTAGAATACCTCCACCAGTGCACGAGGGGAAAAAATACAAAAACCAACAAATAGATCAAGAAAGGGTGGGAAGTAGGCTTGCTGTCCTGGAAGATTCTCAGAAACACAGTTACCGGCAAGTCTAACTGGGTATCTCCCCAATCATCTTGCAGGAGAGCAACCTGAGGAGGATAGGCAAGAAAAAAAAAATCAAGCTTACCTTAGGTCGAGACCACAGTTTGTATAACTTTTCTCCCAAAGGCTAGATCTTGCTGTAACAGGAATTCCACTCTGTGGTGCTCGACAAAGGTATTCTGACTTGACCACACAGCTTACATGCAGACCTGCTCCACTGAAGGGCTCACTTTTTCTGCCCAAGAAGCCACTAAAGATTTGGTAGAAATTGCCTTCAAAGATGCAGGGATATTTAAACCCTCTTCTCTATACACAAAAGCAATGGTCTGTCTAATCCACCTAGCAATAGTGGATCTAGACGCTAGACAGACCTTTTTGGGCCACCAAAAGGTGACTGGATTTCCTTAAACTCCTGGAAACCTCCAGATATCGAAGTAAACATATTCAGAAATCTAAAGAGTGAAACATGACTTCTCCTAGATTCTTGGGATTCTCAGAAAGAGAAGGTAGCTCTCTTGAGTCATATGAAAAGCTGAAGCTACTTTAGGCTAATACAGGGGGGT